CTACATCATAGCAACAATATAGCAATAATTTCCGCGCCTTCAAATGAGGGAGTAGGCATTTCTTTCTTACGTTCCAAGGCACCCTGGATCGAACTAGTGTGAACGGGGAGTGCTACTTCTTAACTTCTCTCTTGAACCGTTCCTCACGATTGTACATCTTGATCATTGTGCTTCGCTCCGAAGATCTTGGAGTAAATTGCAAACAAACAGGAGAATGGAGGACAGAGGTAAGAATTCTCCGGATATTCGGTCGTTTTCCACAGTTGAACTGCTAAAAAATTATGAGCCGCTGAAAATTGAGCTTAGCTGCAATCGTTTGTTTGATTCTTTTCCTTTGACATTTATTGGCATGATTTCCTTAGTTAAGCAGGTATGAGGCATTTGATGTACGGTTTCAACCGTAAAAAAGGTATAACTGATCAAAAATCAAAATGAAAATCAAAAGTTTCCCAGGGCTTTGAAAGTAACGTGCACCATGTCGTACATATACCTGGGCGAGCTATGTATGATCTTCCCAATTTCAATACCGAGCGTCTCATTTGTCTCCTCAATGAGTTAGAAAGCTTTCATAGATTTGAGAATCTCAAATTCCGGACATTTCAGCTCCTCAAGGATCTCTAATTTTTATTTTTGAAAATAATGCAATAGCCCATGACTCACTTTGCAGGAGAAATGCAGTTTTGAAACGAGACAAAGGGACTAGCATGAAGTATTCTTGACAGCAAGTTTTAACAGTTGAAATTTCGCATAACCGGGGATTTCCGCTATGTTTTTTGAGTCGCTGATCACAGAAGATACAGCATAACAATTACCCTATCTAAAAATCATGTACTACCCCTCAAAAAAATTAATTTTTGGGGGGAAAACTGGTGCATACTCTCTTCACACAGGTTTGAGAACTCGATTCAAGGTGCGGAGACACCAACTTCGAGGTCCAAAAAATCGCCGATCTTTGACCGATTTTAGTGAAGTCAGACTTTCTGTGGAAGCCAAATACGTCGAGAATTTAAGTTACAGTGCATTACACGCAATAAATTCTCTAAAACATTAAAAAATTATCAATTTATTCAAGAAACTCAAAGCGCAGAACAAGGGATGACCAGAAAACACCGTCAAGATTAACAATAATACTTCGTGCTGTGCGAGAGAAATTGGTAAAATAGAAAGACCAAACTATGTAGTTCATAAATCAGAGGGGAAATCTATCATTTACAAACAGAAAATACAGTAATTTAGAGATAAGAAAAGAGTAACGAACACGGAACGAAACAAAATAAAATTATCAGTGCAAATATTGCTGCTTTGTTCCTTTTGGCTCTTGCGCGCGGCATATAACGCCAGTCCCCACCTCTCGTTCCAATCACACGCTCTGTTCAGTTCTCCCCACTGCTAACTATACCGCTCGTAATCATGTCTGACGCTCCAGTCGCAGCCACCCCGGCAGCTCCCAAAACACCCAAAAAGAAGGCAGCAGCAAAGCCCAAGAAACCAGCAGCCCATCCTCCGACCGCCACCATGGTCAACGAGGCTATCAAATCCCTGAAGGACAAGAAAGGATCATCCCTTCAAGCCATCAAGAAGTACATCGCTGCCACCTACAAGGTCGACGCTGACAAGCTGGCTCCTTTCATCCGCAAATACGTCATCTCCGCCACCGCCTCCGGCAAAATTATCCTCACTAAGGGCAAGGGCGCCGCCGGTTCCTTCAAACTCCCAGCCAAGGAAGAGAAGAAGAAGGTTGCCAAGAAACCCGCCAAACCTAAGGCAGCTAAAGCCAAGAAACCCAAAGCAGCCAAACCCAAGAAGGCCAAGACCCCGAAGAAGCCAAAGGCAGCCAAATCACCAAAGGCCAAGAAAGTCGCCAAGCCACCCACCAAGAAACCAAAGGCACCCAAACCCAAGAAGGCCGCAGTCAAGAAAAGCCCAAAGAAGGCAGCACCCAAGAAGAAGTAAATTTCTTCCAACCCTTCACTTCAAAACGGCCCTTTTCAGGGCCACCAATTCTGAGCTAATAGTTTTTATCACAACTCCCTACAACCTACAACCTTATCTCCTCATTCATACCCAACACTTAAGTCATATCTCCTTCCAATATTTCTTCACTCAACACCTAAAGGTGCAAATCTTAATTCAATGAATATTTCTTTTGTAAAAATTAGGAGGAAAGTCTGTACAGGAACTCAAGTTTCTATAATAACAATAACTTCAGTCAGTACAGGGACTCGGGTTGAAGTACGAATATTGAAGGAGTCGATTCTACGGTCCAAAAAAACGTTTTAGTCGTTTCATCTTTCTTTCTAAAAACGCTTTCCATGGAGCATAACCCTGAGTCATCCTGTATATTCGACAGTTCAACAGAGAAATGAAAAAAATTACCTTATACTGAACCCCTTCCATTGTATCGGGCCGTTTCCGCATCTCGCGTCGCTTTCAGGGAAGGGCAACATTTAAACAAAAATATCAGATTTTAATATTGCGAATTTAAATCGAAGATAAATGACGGTTTTCTTTAGCAACACCTAGGGTTTTGGAAGGAGATTATGATCGGGTAAGTGAGGGGGTTTAAAAACTGTCAACGAAATCTAGCGAATTTTTGACTATGCGATTAGGAATTTTACGAATCTCACCGGCTCCTTCTGTTCAAGCCTCATAATACATCAAGTTAAACATAATTTATTTCATTTTTTTACTAACCATGTATAAGGAGCAATTCATATATTATCTGCTAATTAAAGTGAAAATTTATGTCAATCGTCCCCTAAATATTTTATCAGCACCAGTTGCGATCAACTGAACCTTGACAAACCTAACGGAACTTACAATTCTAATGCAAATCGAATAGTCGAGTGAAAGAGTGTATATTGATAAGAAACAGTCTCCTTAATAAGGAAAACGCCAAACTTATAAAGTTTCAAGTGCGCGGTCAAGAAAAAGTAAATTCAATTGTATGCTTACTTGAGAGGGGTTCTTCATCTCAAAAAATTGCTGCCATTTTTAAAATAATACGTTGACTAGAAATATTTCAGGAAAATATTGTACTTACTCTACTTTAAAAATATTTTCTGAGAATAACTACCCCCATAAAATACGAAGCTTCAAGCAAAAAAACCCGTGCAGTAGAAAATTGAGGTTTCAAAGGATTCGTTGCATTCGGGACGATTTAAGAAATCAAGTTTCAGGAGAAGATTTCGAAAACTGGAAATCGCGTTCAGACAATGGAGGGGGAAAGGAGGTCACATACCCCAGTTCTCTCCTCCTCCTGCTCACAGCTTTGAAGGGGAGGGGGGGATAACAATACATGTACAGAAGCCTTCCACACTCTCTGCACAGAATAAGGTTATGTTACTTATGTTATGTTCGTTTGCTCAATTTATTAGTTTAGTCTTGGTCAGAGAATAATAGCTAAGTACTATTATTCTACGGTTTAGTATCTTTCTATGATTCAGCACAGTTGGTCCCTGGTTCATGCAATGTGCATACCTTTGATGCAGTTTCTGAATTCTGTCAGTTAAGAATGAGGTATGGACTATTATTGATAAAACAGTACATTAACGGTGCGCTTGCAGTGCTTGCACTAAAATAGAAATGGACATGGACATTTCACGGGCAAATAAAAGATAGCCACCAAGTATTGGAGAAGTTAGATCTTTGAAACATTCTGGATATTCACCACTCTACTGAGTAGGTAAGAGCACATAAAGAGGTAGGTTGAAAATTTTAATTCTGAACAGTAAAGCACACCGGTCGGCTTAGACTTGGAAACCTACAAAAATTACAGGTCTATTGCTCAGCAGCAGCACTCCCTTGACATTTTTCATCTCCAACAGACATTTTGATTGGTTGTGCCAAAAGTGACGATTATTTGAGTGAATTTTGCTATTAGAAAAAAAGTTAAAGGATCCTTGAAGCATGTGCCATGTACAAGATTATGTTTTTGAGAGGACTGTTAACAATCTTTTCGGAGATGCCGCTTGTCTAATAGATTAGACACTTGCTGGTTCAGAAAATTGTTTTCACTCGGATGTTTGAAAAATGGCAGTTTGCAGTGCAATCAGTGTACGTAATATAGTGAAACTTGCTTTTGAGCTCAGTGGTTTAGGGAGGATAGGAGGCAATTTATGATCAACTGGCTAGCATAAGCAGCTACCTAATCGGATAAAAATTCACTGTCAGTGAAACGACAATGGCTGCAGACTGTCAACACAGAAATGATTATTTCTTCTGAGAGAACAATCATTTCCTGGAAACAGTCGCAGACTACTGAAGCAACATCGTGCAATCAAATAAAACAAGCGGAACTCTACACTACACGTCTTTGCAATCCTCGGTGAGTCCTAATACAGAACAATCCCTAATAGAGCATGTTACATTGGTATTAAATTCTTTACCAAGTAAATTTTGTCAGCTTTATAGCCTATATGCTATGCATTTAAAGATGAGATAAGGCATGTACAGGTTGATTCATTAGATAGCGTTCAAGTTTTGTCATTTTGCCTCAAAAATAGACCATTTTCGAAGTGTTCAAAGTGACCTTTCTTTGAAGATTGACGACAAATGCCAAACTCTCCTTGAAGTGCCTAATGACTTCAGAGTTTACATATGGACGCCCAACACTTCTACCCAAGACTCAACTATCTACAGAGGTTACTGGGAATGAATATTAAATTGTGTTGAGTAACCAAAAGAGTTCGATACGCATGGTATTGAAAATTTCACTTCAACGGATGCACCTCAAATTTGACAGCATTGGCCTTACAGACCTATCCCATTGCATATTATGATCGTTTTCTCTCTTATGTTTTACCTCAATGGTTGCTTATATTTGGCATTTGTAGTAATATTCTTGACTTTATGACATAATGGAAGGATGATAATATTTCCGGTACCACTTCACTCCTATATTATGAGTCTTCCTAATAAGAGTTTTTAGACGAGGCAAAATGGGTATTTGCTGATCATGGCGCCACCTGAGTCATGCATGAAAAATTTAGTTTTCATAAACGAGGGATCATTCCATTCAGATCTGAAGCTCTTCACTTCTTCTTTGTTCAGGCCTGGAGTTGTTACCACTTTGCCTCTATTTCCAAGTATTACCCACAATATTTCCTTTGTAGTCTGCTAACATTGGAACTTCAACATTTCAGTTGGTTGATACATTGCAACAGGTCCGGGGATGTTTGTATTTTTGTATCATAGTTGCTGTAATCATCTTTGCTATACCTCCATTGCTATGGATTCAACTTGCTCCTTGTCACACTGCTGGGTGGATACGACTACCCCACAAGTCTTGTCAAAAAAGGAACTTAACATTTTAATGATATTGAAACAGACAAGTTGACCAAAGTGACAAAGCATCTGCTCAAAGCACAAAAATACTACCAATAAGATTTACCTACTGCAGCCATAAGGTAGTGCGTAGTGCATGGTGTAAAATATTAGATGAGTTTCTTCATAAAAATTCCGTGGGAGCACTTCCATACTTTCTTCACCGTGTAAAAAATTAGAGCACACGGTGTCCCCTCAGCATTCACATGCGTGTCTGGTAGATGCATGTTTCACATGATATTAGAGCCAAATCCATATATTGTTTTCTTGCTATCTACTTAAATTAGAGCAGATTAGTTAAAAATGTCCTCCTCGATCAAAGCATTTTAGGCTATAAGTCAAGTTCTTGCACAATGCCATATTTGATTTTGCTCTTTACTGAAGTGAATGAGGCCACTAATTGATGACAAAACTTTTCAGTAGTTTACCAAATTACAAATTGTCAACTGCCACTGATGTAAAATAAACACTCTGGCCAGGACTTTCGTTTCTCTATAGCTCCATACATGTTTCAAAAGCACTCAGGTTAATTAAACCAATTGTTTCTCTCTCTATCCTTCCACATTTCACTTTCCAACTTTAACCATGCGACTGTGATGTATGTGCTTCACAACAAGGCTTGCCGTTGAGTAAGTTTCACAACAAGGGCAAAAGTTTTTGGTATATTTCTACAGATTTTGAACGAACACCATAGTCGCTGCTTGCTACCTATATGCACACTCAAATTAATACACACAGTTCCACACTGAAATTCACTTTGTTTGATATCACTTCCACAATCACTTCTTTGGATCTCGATAGTCTTCTCTTCTAACTTCTAACATTTTCTGTTTTGAAAATAGATCTAAAAATCCTTCGGTCTAACAGATGACTTGAGCAATTTGTAAAATTTCTTAGAATATTTTATCACACAAAAAAACCTTCTAACAATATCCTTGCAAAGGTACGGATCACCATCAAACTTTAATTGTTGTAGCTTCAAGATTTATGGTATTCTAAACTTAACATTTTAAAAAAACACTTCACAAAATGATGTATTCAAATCAAACTCAGGCGGATTGTCAATGCACCTTTGTTAGAAGGATTCTTTCGATGGTCTCCTTCGAAGGATTAAATTTGCTCAACTGAGTCAAAATCAAACCCATGAGACATTATTGACAAAGCTGACAAAGCTGTGACACCTGTTCATAAAGTTACAAAGGAAAGGTAGAACATGAGATAATTAACCCTGTTGATCAGAAATTATGACAGCCACCTTCTGCACTTTAGTATAATGCCCTACTGAGAAACTACATGATAAGCATGGGAGGGAATAATTCAGTCTATGTTAGTGTTGCGTCAGATTGTGTCGTCAGCCGCTGACGTCTCTCATTTGAATTGCGCTTACCAGATCCTTAAGTCCCTCTCAATATTTTTTGGGGGTTTTTCTGGCCTGGCTCAATTAAATTAAACGAATTATGAGCCCCAATGATCATATTGGTATCTTCACGCAATACTTCAAATAAGTATTCTGTATTCACTCGGCAACTTCCCTTTGAAAGTAGGAGAGGAGTCAAAGTCCTTACACTGGATTGAAAAACAAGTGTTTTTCATGAAGTCGGCGCCAGCTTGCATAATTAATATCGATGTTATTGATGAGCAGAAGTATAGAGATGGAGGGTTCGAATTCAGAGGCTGCGTTAAAGTCTGAAGAAAGAAATTTAGAACAGGATCTGGAAAAATCTAAAAATAGTGGCATGAATCCGAATGATTTGCTTCCCAGAGATCTTTCTTGATACAAACTGACATTTCTGATCTCTATAATGTCGAACCTCTGAGGCTTGCTAGGAAAGAAACCGGTGAATTGAAGGAATGGAGAGATCTTTCTCATGAAGCAGCATTTAATGTTCTGATTAGAGCGGAAAGTATCTTTCGCTGTCTCAAATGCATGTTCCTCCCTTCACTTTTTTTGAATTGGCTTGACTGACCTTTTTCCTTAATACCAAAAACATTTTCAGTTTTATTCTGACTTCAAAATGTTATTCTGTACTTATTGTTTCTCTGTCTAGCATAATTGCGACTGTTCATGGCAATTCTTTAAAGTTAATACTTCTCATCGCTTGTAAGTACAGTAGGCATAAAGAAAGTACAAGCGCTTCTGTAGTAGCTGCGCAGACTAACTTAATAATATTTATTGTAGTCAATCATTTCTTGGATTATGGCAAGGCCACTGAGACTGTGCGATGCCTCTTGCTTAATGACAAAGCTTTGAGCCAGCAACTTCTGCAGTAAGCAATATCAATGATGATTTCAAACTTAACCAGTCAAAAAAACCGGTTGAATTACACAAATCATTCCTCCAAATTTAATAAGTGTAATGGAAACTAGGAGGCCCTGCCCCCTGACCGCTACGCGGCCCAACCCCCGGGAGGGCGCCTCGCGCCCTC